AGAATTAAATTAAATCGAATTTTTAGTTATTTGTTGTTATTTTTGTTGTTATACCCTAATATGTGTAAAAATATGAATTTAGTTGTTATTTTTGTTGGGATTATATAGTAATGTGTGCATATATGGTATAATATGAGTAGAAGTATGAATTTTGGTTATGAATTTTGATTATTATTATTTTATTTAGAATTTTGACATTTTAATTATTTAATTTTGAATTTTAATAAATGTTGTGTGAAGTAGGTATTTTGATAAATTGTTTATTTGATGAAATATGTATTTGATAAATTGTTTATGATAAATATGTTGTTTGATGAATAAATATGGCATAATTGTATATTTGATGATAGGTATTTATTTGATGTGATTAATTACTATGTGTCAATCTTGCTCTTTTGGACTTCCTTTTGCAAGTTACTGGCATTGTGTCTATATTCTGTTGAAGGAGTAGCACTCTTCTTCTTATTGTCCATAGTTTCTGTTTGATTCGAAGAGATGATATTTCCTGAGAATGCTTTGCTCCTTATCTAGCCAAAAATTTGATCACGGACGGTGGAGCTTAGCTAGCATTGAATGACCATTCAATATTGTTGTCAGTTATGATGTTTTTAGGACTAAGAAAATTCTTCACCGTACTTATTACTCTTTGTAACTTCAGAGTAAATGAGAATATCAATGTCTTGGAATGTGTCACGTGTCATTAGTTTATTTGACCGATAAGAATAACGATACACTTGTTGACATTAAGAAATTAGATTTAAATTTACAGGATATCATGGTGCGTAATTATCTAAGAAGAGAAAGCAGGATAGGCCTGATGAGGGGGGATCAAGTCAAAACCCCAACGTGGACTCGGACGAAAGCGAAGAATGGGAGGAAGGAATCGAGAGTGAATTGAAGTTGACATCTACGGACAACAAGAAGGCACTGCAATTGCGCAAGAAGCCTGTACTTGGCGGCAAGTTCATTGACATGCCGTTATTGGATTAATACGGGCGCCGAGAGGAAGTCACTTGGTTAATGTCCCATCGCCAATGGTCGAAAGTTTTCTCATGGAGGGGATCCACATACACCCCGCTGATCTATGAGTTTATAGCCTCTTTGAACCTGATAAAAGAAAGAGATTAGAAGAACACTTCTGTCACCTTTAAGCTTTTTAACAGACTTCACTATTTTTCTGTGAACCAGCTAGGAGTTTATCTAGGACTGCACACTGAGGAGGAACAAAGAAATCTGACTTATCTGCAGACATCAGGGAATTTTGTATCTGAAAATGAAGCGGAGGAATACTGGAGACAGATATCTTATGGGAAAGCTCCATTGGTTCATGGGAAAAGCAATGAAGCTCGCATAGTCAGGAAAAACCTGGAGTACGTTCGGACTATCTTGGCTAGCACTTTTGGAGGACGGATGTCCAATCTGCACAAGGTCTATAAGAGTGATCTCTTTTACTCGAGGAGCATGGAATGAGGAGAATACACCAACATGGGCTTAGTTGCAAGAAAATGGCTTGCAACTCAGCATCACAGTCGGGTGGCCAATGTGTTCATTGGCCCACTACTTACTCGGTTGTGTGAAAGATTAGGACTAGACAGGAAACTCAGACGTGACTTAGTACTAGCAGAGATAGAACCCTTGACAGAGATGGATATTGAGCGATCTAAGGTGAATTATGAAGAGGGTGAAGCAACGCAAGCACAAGGTGTCACTTTTGACATTCCAAAACATCATGGCCACGTCGATAGCTGGGATACTCTTCGAAGGTTCCAGTATAGCTTGCATTTAGAGCAGACGGCCAGGAATGATGTTCGTTGGGATGCCCTCCAGACCCATATTGATGCTAGGTTCGATGGTCTCCAGACCTATGTTGATGCGCGTTTCAATGCCCAGTTTCCTCAGCGTCCACATGGCCCTGGTTATGATGCTGCTCCTTTCTGATTGTCACACTCGATTTTTGTTGCCACCTGACACTTTGGATTCCTGGACTTGTTGTTTTTGGATTATTACTGTTTAGACTTTAGGTACCCTATGCGTGGGGTGCCGCTCCTATCCCTTTACTTTCTTCACACTTAGTTTATTTGCTTTACTTTGTTTACATTGTTTAATATGCTTTTTAGACTACCTGATAAGTGTCAAAGATGTTATGTTTTATAGGATATTTAACAGGAATTTTGTGTTATAATTGGAGTCCATTAAGCCTAATTCATTCTTAAATAGCTTAATTTGATAAACGTTAGGATTAAGGACTAATTATGTTGCATTTGTAGAAAAATAGCAAAACATTGTCAATTTCAGGGCATTCCGGCCACAGTTCGGTAGAATGATCATATCTTGCGCTAGGAGTGTCCAAATGAGGTGATTCAAGTGGCTATAGTTCAGAAACTTCAAGGGCTACAACTCTTATTTTGGACAAAAATTCCAGAAAGTTATACGCAGCTCACAAAGAGCCTTACAACGTGCGTGGACGGATCACTTAAAGGAAATTTCAGATTTCAAAGCTATTTAAAGGCTTGTAAGGGGATTGTTTTAAGACTTCTTTTCCCATTCCTTTAATCTCATATTCAGCTCTCTTAGGTTAGGTTATATTAGGGTTTATCTTTTCCTTTCATTTTATTAGATTAGATTTACATTTCATATCTAGAATTCATTGTTCAACATTGCTTTTGGATTACAAGCATCTATGGATTGAAGATTTTGGTAACATTTCTTCTCCTTGTTCATATTTCATATCTAATTTGTGCTTTGTGATCTTATAAATGATGATGGATTGCTAGACATCTAGGATTTGGATTGGTATTGGATTGTGTTTGTGTTCTTATGCTTTGAATGTGTGAATGATGAGATTGGTTGTATGTATTAGCCTTGAATGCCTTTGTTGTAGAGGAGTTCATATTGATCTCTTCCCATTGAGTGCTCCAATGGTTAGATGAGTGTGAGAGTGGGAGTTTACCAAGAGATTGCACTCTCCTTAGTCTTGCCCTTGCAATCCCCTTCCTACGACCCGGGAGAGCGAGCTTAGGGGAGGAGACGGTAGACCGCCCACCAAGTGTTTGATAGAATGTCTCGCCCGACGTAGGGAACGAGAGACTAGGTCCTACGCGTCCTAGTGATGGTGCCGCCTTAGGTCTCCCTAGGTTAGCCAAGCCATACACTCACTCTTGTCTACTTAAGACCAATGAGTGCACAAACTCAAATCCCAATTCCATCCAAATCCCCGTTTTACTTGTTCATATTTGTTTCCTTTATTTTCCTTCACTTCCTTATGTTTCTCAGTTTCACACAACTACCACCACCCGTACCTTGCACCTAGTTCATCCTTTGATGCATTGTGACAAAGGATTGTCTTGCATTTCACTTGCTCCGAACGGCCATCCTTGAGTTCGACACTCAGGGTTTCACAACCTTCCTTTACACTCTTTCACACACCACACACCACTCCACTATTACTAAAAACTATTCGTCACTACCTTTTTATGCTTTCAATAAGTGTGTGAACTCTTTCTTATCTATCTTTTGAGCCTATCTGTTTGAATGCCCAGCTCTTGTACTTAACATGAACTATAAGAATGCTTTGTCATTCTCATGCGAATATTGCTTTTAACTGTTTAAGCCTTTTGCACTAACGTCTTCATTGCCTATCTGTTCTGTCCATAGAAAGGCTGGGGGCAAAGACTCTTAATGGAAGGCCGAGGAAATCTCTTAACAAAAGGGGGTTCTCTCTAATCCTTTGTCTTTGACCCAGTTTTGGAATAGGCAAGGAATAGAATATGAATTTTATTCTATTGTTTGATTCGCGGAAGGAATAAACTTTAGGAATTATATTACAGTGTTTGGTTGGTTTAAGGAATAGAAATGAAATATGTTTTAAAAGACATAAATACCTGTATAAAAATATGTGGTGGTGACGATGGTGGCGGTGGTGGTAGCGGTGGTGGTGGCGGTAGTGGTAGCGATGGTGGTGGTGGGGTGGTGGCGATAGCGGTGGTGGTGGTGGCAGTGGTGGCGGTGGTGAAATAGGAAATAAATTTAATTGGTGGGTAAAATATAAAATTGAAACTTTAGGTTGTTCCTGAGAACTCAGGAATAGCCTAATACTAGGGGGGGGGGGGGGGGGGTAAGAATCTCTATTCCCCTTTCAAGGAGAATAGGTCATTCCTAGGAACAATTTCCTGGGAATAGATGTTTTTACCAAACAAAAGAATATACCTATTACTTGAAATGCTATTCCATTCCAGGCCTATTCCGCGAACCAAACGTGCCATTAGTGTCATTCAATGATGCAAAATACATGTGTATGATAAACATTTGTAAACATAAATAATTATTTAGCTATTTCCTTGAGTGGGCCACTTTGGTGCTAACACACTTGCCTTATGCTAATAATTTATTTATGTGAATAAACCTTAATTTATGTTGTAAACATAAACATAAATGATTATTTAGCTATTACCATGAACGGGCCGCTTTGGCGACTAACACACTCGCCTTATGCTAATAAATCATTTATGCAAGTAAACCTTATAATTTATATATATGTTGTAAACATAAACACAAATGATTATTTAGCTATTACCTTGAGTGGGCCTCTTTAGCGACTAAGCACACTCACTTTATGCTAATAATTCATTTATAAACATATATAAAAATTAATAGTGGATATAACCTCCAACTATAATTGTTCCCACTGCTGGAATTCTACATTTTTCCGACCACCGAAAAGTGGTCGGAAAAGGGTGATTTCCGGTCGGAAATACAATTTCCGACCAACTTACCGACCATTTTGTGGATTCGGAAAAAAAGCCCACGCTATTACCGACAACTAGTCAATGTGGTCGGAAATACCGATTTCTTTTTTAGGAGGTCGGAACAATTAGTTGTCGGATAAAAAGAGCATATTTCCTACCACTGGTGGTCGGTAATTGGTCGAAATTACCATCCACTAGTGGTCGGTAAGATTTACAAAGAAAAAATTAAAAAATTTGTCGGTAAGATTTACTAATAAAAAAAATTTAAAATTCTACAAATACCAATGGAAGGCAATTTGGCTCAATTAAAATTTGATTACATGATCGATTAAAATACTAATCTCTTTGAGCTCAATTGGGTAATAGGGATAGATAACCTTATCGTCAATGTATGTTCAACCTTTGCAACCTCTGCAAGGAGCCGAGCTTCTTCAATGAAAGGCAATTTGGCAATGCCCTTGACATCAAGAAATATTTTAATTCAGTTGTATGATAAACATCACAGAAGATATCCTTTCTCAGAAAGCAAAATTATAAATGTTTTAATCAATACCTGTCAAGAAAACCTCTTGCCATTCATGTCCACTTCAAAATCTACAAGCATAACAACCATATAAACACAATTCCATTACGTTTAAAAAAATGAATACATTAAGCGATAAAAAATACTAGTGGGATAAAAATCAATAGTAGACGAGTTTGGGTCTGTCATCAATCTCCTATAATGCTCGGGAAGCGCATGTGAACTCAGTTAGAACCCCAAAAAACACCATAGCGTGAAAAGAAATAAAGAAGAAAGATATTGGTAGAAACCTTGCTGCAGGGAACACACCCATAAAAAAAAAAACAGAATATGAGATGAAAAACAATTAATAAGACAAAATCTCTAAATTAGTAGACCTTCTTTAATACAAATTGAATACCTTGCTGCCATCTGTCAAATACCCTTCCATCAACCTAAACTCCTTGTAAACAGCCATGAGCAAGTTAAAAAAATTCATACACCCTGAAACATAAAAACCTCTACAACAAAGTGCAAGTGAATAAGTACATTAAGATGGTAGAAATATTAGTTTCAAGTTCCTGTTAACATCTGAAACTCATTGAACTATGTGCTACTTATGAGAAGCAAATGAATATATATAGTGCCAAAAAAGTTGGTCTGAGCAACACATCAACTTAAGCTCCGTTTGGGAGAGCAATGCGATTCAGATAAATGCAAATTCAGATAAACCAAGCTGAAACATGGGTGTCAAATATAAATTTGAAATTTTAAACCATTCACGAACACAAATTCAAAGTAGCCAAGCAGAGAAATACAAATGCGGTACATAAAGGAACTGGATTTGTAATCAAACCCAAAACTTAACCTGATAAGGCATTTTTGCCACCACTTCAGTATCACCTTTTTCATCAAACTCCCCAGCCTTTCTCTTCGCCTTCCCTTCGCAATCTGTTGCTAAGTGGTCCATTTGACCACATCCCTGAAAACCGCAAAGTCAAGTCGTTGGATAAAGCAAGGATATTTCCTGGTTTAAATACATGCCAGAAAATAACAAAGCAATATCATTAAAATTATCAAGAGGGTGAGTAAAATAGGCCATCAGATTTTATAAACTGGGTTGATACCCAATAAGTGGAAACACTTCCTCATCACAACTGTGGTTGCTTCACAAAGCAAGAACCTACTTGTTTCCTGGACCGAGCCAACCACCTGAAAACCGCAAAGTCAAGTCGTTGGATAATGTATAAGTACATTTTCACCGATAAAACATGGCATAACATAGCATTTTTATCCCGCTTCACCCAGTAAGAATAATCCATGACTGCTGTTTCAGCTGTGAACATGGGAATAATATATAATCAAGAACAATCCCACAAAATAATTAATCCACCTTAGCAAATGGGAACAAAATGTTGAGGGTAATGCAGCAAGACATGTTATTTGATGGTTTACACCATGGAAGTACGTATCACTTTATATTCAAAACCAAATTTACTTTTTTTTTTTTTTTTTTTTTTTTTTACAAAAGGATAACACAGTCAACTAAAAGAGTTATATTGAAAATTGGTAAATGCAATCATGATTTCATATAATTATCCATAGAGAGCTTGCATACCTGACAGTTTGTGTAGAATCTTGTGAAATCCTCGGATAAGTTATAGAGATACTCGCACAATAAATTTGGTAGAAGATTCGTACAAGCTTCTTAAACAATCTACAAGAGTAAGAGGAAAAGAAAATGCAATATTGATACTCTCATAGCTAAGATTGATGCCAAGCAGATGAGATTAGGGATTATTAATTTACCTCAGGAAATTGAAGTAAATGGAGTCCCAACATTCGCTCATCGTGATGAGCTAAATCTAGTGTCCCAGTCTGTTCAATAACCATAACATCAGTCTAAAAAATTAACTAAAAGATTGAAGAATTCTAGTTCGGAGATTGTAAGTCTGCAACCATTCACAGGCACTACAACATTGCCATGGTCTATGTTTTTTTACAAGGATACTTGGGCAATCAATAAAAAAATCCCTAAAGCCAGGCTTAGCTCATCTGAATTGCCATAAAGTGGGTGGGTGGGTGGGTTGTTAAAGTGGAGGTGAAAATTGAGCTGAAATAAGATAAATGAAATTAAAAGTGAATGTTATAGGATCAACTTTCCTTTGTTGCTTCAGTACTTTTCTTTTGGAGGTTGGGAGGGGAGATAAGACACATCAAGTATGATATTGATTAAAAAAAAACTCAACTCAACTCAATTACTTCACATGTTTTTTTCCAAAGGGAAATCTAAACCCCCTGATGATGACTTAACAGCGGAACAGTTTCCCCTATTTGTACTGTACACCTTCTGCAGATTCCTGATCTGTATACATCTGCATATCATGAAGATAGGTGTAATTGTACAACTTAATACTTGTACAGAATGCATGCACAACTAAGTCAAGGAAATTCAGTTGGAGATAATATGTAAACATTACCTCACATCAATATCTTGTTTCATTTCCAAACTGATAGTTTCCATGACCAGTTTGTATATCTCTTCTCCAAATAAATTTGCACTCTCTTTATCTGAGTTGTCAATTAAATTAACTTCTGAGGTTGAAGCATAATGTTCTCTAGTATTTTTTCTCCTCCAAAAGGATTTCCAGAATGTGGAATTCCATGGGAAGTGCAATCCATTCTCCCTACTAAGAACCTGATTGTATGTATAAACTCCTGGGCTTTTTCTCTTGATAAAATCATTGAGACAGCATAAATGTATTTATTTTCAGTTTTATCTGAACTAGCTTAGGATTTTAAAGAGGATGAGGACTGCTTTTATCTATAAAAAAATCTTTAGCGTTGCACTCACCGATTCCTCCAGAACTTTTTCCTTTTCATTCTGAAGGATCTGAACCTAAACCCAAAATTACAACAAAGCTTCCTTCAATCTAAGACAAATATCATGTCTTAAGAAGTGACATTTAAGAGTATCAGCAAATCAAATCATAATCAACTAGCTATGAGGTTTTGGATACAATTTCATGTCAAATGTCAAAAGGCCAACAACATTTTACACAGCTAGGCTCGAGTACGGTAAAAACATGATATGTATAGTACCTCCTCATCGTTGTCATTAATGGAAAGATCAGCTTTGTCATTTGCAATTATTCTTCTCTCTGAGGATTTTTTTCTCCACGGCCAATTCTTTTGGTCCATGGTCTACTGTTTGCTGTAAAATATCAAAATCGGGGTTGTCGGTGGTCACTCCAATGATTCAATGAAAATGTCAAGGTCTCAAATATCCAAATCATAGCTTATTAAGTCAAGTTTACCCACACTTCTGCTAGGACATCCACTTCTTTGACAAGACTGGCTGACGTGAAACTTATAATCTAACAAATAATGTTATGCTTCTGACTTATCAGACATCATTACATTATAGTCATATTCTAATAATGTAGAAATCACAAAAAAGGTACTTCCTACATTATAGTCCTATTATAACCAACCCTGTTTTACTTGGTTAGTTACCTGCTAAGTGTTCTTGATCTTAATCATTCTTGAGTAAAAAGGTGAAAGATTCAATTTCCCAGTATCAAACATAAGTTTAGGATAATACATTAATCATGCAAGAACAAAATATTAAGGTTACTTAAGTTTATGATAATATAATCCAATGATTATGCAAGAACAGAAGATCAAGGGTTACTTAACTTTAGGGAAAAAAATTGTTAGCGTCATGTGTTAAATCAATTAGAAAAAGAGATCTAGATGTTCCAATCTGATAAAAGCAGTGCCTAAAGCATATCTTAAAGTCAATAATTTGTCATGCATAAAACTGTATATGAAGTGTTAAAGTAGCTAAGATTCAGAATAGATATATTAGCATATATAAATGGCACCTCTTAGCAATCAAGGCATCATTGTTGTACATAGAGCTCCGAGAATGAACACGTGACAGCATATCCAAACTAATTGTAGGATAATGTGTAAGAAGAGTTGCTTTGCAGATTCACCCACTAAATCAGTAAGAGCTGCTTCAATGTTCATGTGCACATCCTCTCTGTCAGTCCTCCACAAGAACTTGCATGCTTCAATCTGCCTTTCTATCTCATCTAGACCTTGTAGAATTGTATCCCTGTCATTTTCGCTAATCAATCCCTACGGTACACCAAAACAATTGTGCACATTTGAATACTACTCTTTCACATTTCACTTGTTAAGGAATTAGAAGTCATGAACTAAATTCGGTCCTCTTTATGTTTGTGTCATAAACTAAAACCAAATGTGGTAACGATAGAACACCACAAATTTGCAATTTCTTAATAGCTAGGCCAGCAAAGCAAGATATAATGAGAATAAGAAGAAAGCATTAACATTTTATAATGAACATATTCAAAACCAAATGATGACTTTTACACATAAAAGAAAAAGCTTATAGCTTGGTCAGCAAAGTAAGACAAAACATATAGAGGAAGAGAGCATTTAAATTTCAGATGAATAGATTTGAAACCAAATCAGGATAGAGTGTAGATGACTTGTATAACCATCCAGCAGATGTAACCACATACACAGCCAATTCTAGTCTAATTATAATATCACCAAACCAACAAAAATTTTCCTAATTCATCATTGGCAACTAAAAAGATTATAATTAATAGCAAAACCTCAGAGATTTTTAAAAAATATAGTTAAATATAATCATTCCAATAAATCATATTGAACAATTCACAGCACTAGAAAAACCAAGTAACCATACCTCACAAAGATATATAACATATATTATATATTATAACATATAATACCCCATATTTATACAGAAATAAGTAAAAAAAAATATTTAACATTTGTATTTCTATTATATAGAGAGAGGAGCCAACTCAAGTGCAAACCATTCCTAAAGTATAAACTACAAACACATCTTAACTGTTAAAAGTAAAATTCACTCTAGAACATATTCATCATCTACATTTTTATAGCATATATATAATGCTCATCTTTTTACAGCAAAATGTATGTATCAATACAAGTAGAAAGTCATACATACTGTTTTCTGGATTCTCTATCGTAGATAGCATGCCTGAATGCTTGATAGATCTAGAAGCTAAGAAGATACTTTCCCCAATTCGAAGTGAAGGCCAATGCCCTAAATATTCTGAATCAGATTCGGAACTTCATTATTTTATATCTCTCTAATTATATTAAAAATAACTAAAAACTATAGATTATAAACAAAGAACCCTAACAATAGATTAAGAAATAAAGAATCCTAACCATTACATCGTCGATCAAGGAGAAGCGCTAAGGAGGAGAAGGCGTCGTCGATGGAGGAGAAGGCATCGTCGATGGAGGAGAAGAGCAAGGGAGGGGGTGTCGTCCTTCGAGGAAAAGAATTGGAGAGGAGAAGGTTTAAATCTGTGATTGAGGAGAAGAGGTAAGGAGGAGAAGGATTGAATTGAAATATGCGTTTGAGGTGAAGAGGTAGGGAGGAAAAGGTTTAAATCTGGGATTGAGGAGAAGGTCTTTAGATCTAGCTGCCAAAAAGAGTTAGGAAAAATAGATATAATAGATATTTATATATTGGGCAGCTGCGCAAATGGCCAAGTGTTTTTTAGGTCTGTTTGCGATTTAAAAAAAATTATTCCGACCACAGTATTTGGTGGTCGGAAAATGAGATTAATTTAAATATTTAGCGAAATTGTCCGGCCAGAATATAAAAAGTGATTGAAATTACCGACCACTTCGTAAATGTGGTCGGAAATTCCGACCAATTTCCGACAACGCTTCTATTTGGACGAAAAAAGGAAAAAAAAGTTAATTTTTGCGATCAAATTTTTAGGTGGCCGGAAAGAGGTCGGAAATGGATAATTTCCAGCAGTGTGCCAAATGAGCCTTTAATTTAAAGCAAGTCGGTAATGCCTTAAATAAACTAAATAGGCTAAAAACTAAACCCAAATTAAATGAGCCTAGAATTTAAAGCAAGTACATAATATCTTAAATAACCCAAATAGGCTCAATTTAATTGGCCCAACAAAATAATCCATCAACAAGGTCACCTAAAACCATCATGCATCCACTGTCCGCCACTTCCTAGCACAGTTGCCGGCATCAGTCCACCGGGAAGCCAGGTCCGCCGTTACCGCCGTCACGACGCGTCGGCAAATGGATTCCAGTGAATCCAAGTAGTAGGTTTGATTCCATAATTATATAAATGTAATAACATGTATGTAGTTTTGATTCCAATTCTGTACATACGCACGTTGATTCCAAATGTTTCCAAATCATGTTATTAACAATTCATATATATAAATAAATTCATGTGAACAGACGAATATGGAAACACTGGCAATATGCTTGATTCCATTGTCAAAAAAACACAAGCACAGGATTTTCATTCAAGAACATACAAATCAATATTTTTTTCTTGATTCCAAACAGTGATTAAAACATACGAAACAGTACGTAAACACTAGTTTCACTTGATTCCAAATCCATATGAAATAATCACCAAATGTTAATTAAAACATAAATTATGACGGTGACAATCGTAAAACTCACAATCAATTACACCTTATAATTAAAAATCCCCAAATATCATGAACCTTAATTTTAGTATTTAATTAATTTACAAGCTGACTCTGATACTAACTGTTAAATAATCCTTATGCACGAAAACTAGAATGCGGAAGCACAATTAACAATGAATTGCAAATAAATCAAATCAAGCAATTAAACAATGTTTATGATCATGGATTTTCAATTAAACAGAAGTAAAGATAGAACTTATCTTTAAATTGACTTAAATCAATAATGCTTCACGTCTCTAATCTGTATGCCTTAATCACACCTCTGATGATGTGGAGACTGGAAAACTTAGAAATTAGAAACAGTCAATAATCCCTAGAGTTTTCCTGGGTATTTATAGATGTGATGAGAAATCTTCTTTCAAGATGAATGGGAAACCTCCTTGAAATAGAAATCCCTGAGAATGCGAAACCTCCGTTTAGGAAACCCAAAACCTTTTTCCTTTATACATCTTTTAACCCTTATAAACTTAAATTGTAATAGAATGAGAGGGAGGAAATTTCACCCAGTAATTCCGTCTTTACACATGACTAATCATCACGATGAGCAGCTTATGGAATTACAACCTTTATTATATAAATCAATGTTATGAAATAATTATTTCTAACAGTAAGATAATCCAGGACCAACTTGAGAATAGAATCTTCAACATTATGCCATTTCTTTTGATAAAAGCCGGCATGAAAACCATCCAAGCCTGTGGCTTTATATGGACCATATCAAACATAGCCTTCTTTACATCAATATGTGTGAAATCCCTATTTAAATCCATCAGGTCCTATCAGTAAGTTTGGGGAAGCCATTCTTAGCCAACCCTTGAATAACAACATCATTCTCTTTAGAAAAAAAATTCTTAAAGAACGAAACAACCATATCCTTGGCCATACAGACATCATAGATTTGATACCCATCATCCAACACCAGATATATTAATCATTTTTCTTCTAGCTTTTTTAATCTTGGTAGCAGCGAGATAGAATTTGGTATTTCTATACCCCGACTGAATCCAATCCTCAAGAAACTGTTAAAACCAAAATAATTCTTCGTGTTTAAGAATATCATCCAATTCACTACGCAGTCCTCTATCCAAGTTAATGAGGCCTTGGTGGGGTCTAATAAACAAGGTTTGTTCGACACCTTCCAACCTAGCAATCCATTTCGTTTTTTTTTTTTTTTTTTAAATAAATGTTACCAAATGACTTCATATTCCACTCATTCGCAAATTATGCCGTGGAAACTTGTTCGAAACTACGCTGTTTTACAGGCGTAACATTAAAAACAAAAAATTATTTACTGTGCTATTAACTGCGTTAGTCGCGATTTTGAAGGCAACTTCCATTATTGTTTTTGGCAGTTTCAATTCGCTATTCACTTCTTTGATTCCATTCGCTATTCACAATTATCTTCTTCCATTCGCGATTGCTTGATTTGAACTCGTAGATGGAGGAGACAACGGATTGGGGAGAAGATTAAATTGGTGTTTCGATTTCTGTGTTTCCAGGTTTGTTGCATTCGATTTTTGCGATTTTTGCGTTTGATTTTCTGCGTTAGATTTATGAGATTTTAGCATCTTGAAATTGAAATTGAATGTATATTTGTGTTTGTTATTGCGAGATTGTGGTGTGAGCGTTATAATCTATTACATGTGTGTTTCTAGGATTTTGTGATTCATGGTGATTATTTGCAATGCTCTTTATTTTTAGTTTTTTTTTTTTGTTTACTGGTGTTTATTCAGTATCTATGCAGTTTGAATGTCCATAATGTCGCAATTGTTATTAATATTATGTTTCTGTTATGAATTTACAGTTATGAGATTATGAATTTTCTGTTATGAGATTATAAATTTTCTGTTATCAATTATGAATTTGATACTCTGTTCCTGCATGTGGTATGAATGTTCATAATTTGATAGTTCTATGTTCATAACATATTAACTGCTAAGTTACTCTATTTACATATATTCAGTGAATGAAGATTTTGTTGGTGATTCACTAAGCACTGATCAAGCAGATGTAAACATTGACATTGATGGCTCCTCTTCAAGTCCAGGTATTTTTCTTAGCTTTTAATGTGAATGTCGTTACTGGTAGTAGTAGGTATTGATTCATGGTGATTATTTGCAATGTACTTTATTTTTAGTTTGTTTTTACTGGTGTTTATTCAGTATCTATTGCAGTTTGAATGTCCATAATGTCGCAATTGTTATTAATACTCTGTTTCTGTTATGAATTTACAATTATAAGATTATGAATTTTCTGTTATGCAATTATGAATTTTCTGTTATGCAATTATGAATTTTATGTTATGAAATTATGAATTATGTGAACTGTTATTGATGGACAATATATTCTTTTCTGTAGAGCATGACTGGATTTATTCGGCATTTCCCATCCCCCATCTACTTAAATAAAGAATATATTTCCATCAAACTCATTTCAATTTTGTACTATATTATATTCATTATAGTTGAACTTTACATTCATAATGTGCAGCCTTGTTTTGTAGATATTGCTAGTCAAAAGTCAGTAGTTGTTATAGTTGTGGTTATATTTTTTTTGCAATTGCAGGTGTTGAAGATTTGGTTGGTGTTGTAGTAAGTAATAGTGATTAAGCTTTTGAGTTATTGTGACACCCCAAAAATCCACACTCCAAACCATGAATTAATTGAGTAATTAATTCTATTTCTTTTGAGGAATTGATTCCTAAAATCCTGATTTTTGATACTCAAGGACTAGTATTTGACTAGTCAATCTTTAAGTGGTGTTGTACCTTGTGCTTTGAGAGGAGTTCCCTTGTTCCTTACACTTTCTAAGAGTTAGTAAGGGTATCCTTGTCTTTTCACCAAGAGCTAGTTTTGTAACCTAAACCTAGAAGACTTCTTCATTTTTCATCCCTTACATTTCCTAGAAAATATCTCTACCTTCTCTCTAGAATAGAAGAGTAGCTTGTTCTTCAAGCCAAAAGAAGCCTTTGTCAAGATTCCAAGTTTCGCTTCCAAGATTCAATCTTTCCTCTATTTTGGCATCTAGAAGGGTAAAATCTAAGCTTGTCTAGTCTTTTTGGTTCCATCTTGGTTGTCTTTTTCTTAAAGGTTGGATCTTTATGATCTTTTGGTTTGATCTTGAAGTGGGTTTGGCTAGTGAGCTTAGTGGAGAGCTTGTTGTAGTGTAAGAAGAGTCTTTTGGTCTTCAAGAGGTAACCAATGCTCTACAAAACCTATTTTTCTTACCTATATATGATTTCTTGGCTTCTATTTGTGTTTTGCTATGAAATGTGAGAGTTTATGCATTTATCTTGTGATATTGCATATCTAGAGCTTGTGTTTAGGATTCCTTTGTGCCATTGCTTGGCATTTTCCTTGGTTCAAGTCATTTTGTTGTGTTTGGTGAGATTTGGCATATTTTGGACTTGAATTTGTGTTTGGAGGAGAAAATCCCCGAAGGGATTTGTTGTGGAACAGGAGTGTTCCCGCAGGCGGAACGGCGGGCGGGGCACCACCCGCCGGCCTACCCGCGGGTATATAGCCTGTGGGAATATGTTCCCGCGGGCGGAACCACGGGTGGGGCGCTACCCGTGGGTCCACCTGCGGGTACATGGTTGGTGTTGTGATGGGATTTGTTCCCCATGATTTGTTTGTCTCGGTCTTTGATCTTTTGGCCTCCCGATGTTCTTTTGTGGAACTATTTGAGCGTCTTCTTGATGTTTCGTAGGTCTAGAGCTTTATGGTAGGTATCCATGTAGGACATTTGGTGTTGTGAATCGTGCTAAGTGTTCAACATT